AAGATCCCTTGTAGTATCACAGATTTTCAGATCAGTTTGTGCGTTTCTGAAAGAAAAGAAAACTATCAGAATTTTGATAATGATTCTTTTACCACTGTAGATCATTTTGGGTAGTATTGTCACCTTAGCAATATTAAGGCTTCAGATACATAACCTTCTGTTACTCATTTTTAATCTCATTCTGTTATGATTAGGGAAGATACTTTATATGAATTCATTGTTTTTAAATTTAGTGAGACTTCCTTTATAGTGTAACATGTGATCTGTCCCAGAGAATGTTCCATATGCATTTGAGATGAGTATGCGTTCTCTTGTTGGGTGATATGTTCTTTCTATATCTGTTAGGTCTGATTAGTTTATAGTATTGTTTAAGTCCTCTGTATCCTTTTTGGTCTTCTCTATCCATTATTGAAAGTGGAGTATTGAAGTCTCAAACTCTTATTATAAAACTCTCTATATCTTTCTTCAATTATGCCAGTTTTTACTTGATCTCTTTTGGAGTTCTTATTAGGCACCTATATGTCTATAACTGTTATATTTTCTCCATGAATTGATGCTTTATAAATGTATAATGTCTTTCTCTGTGTTTTATAACAATTTTTCTTGTATGAAATATCTTTTTCCGTTTGTTCATTATCAATCATATTTGTGTTTTTGAATGAAAAGCAAGTCTCATATAGACAGTATGTGCAGATTCTCTACAACTTTGATGGGGTTATCTTCCAGTAAAGCCATTGTAAGTTTAAAATGCCATAAGAAAAAATTCAAAACAATGAAAAAAGAAAAAAAAAGTCAAAAATGCATTTAATTCACCTAAGCTACTGAACATAATAGTTTAGCCCAGCCTAAACATACTCAGAACACTTACATTAGCCTACAGTTGGACAAAGTCATCTAACATAACAGTATATTTTATAATAAAGTGTTGAATATCTCGACAGTTATAGACTATATATTGAATATTGTACTGAAAGTGAAAAACAGAATGGTTATAGGGTACTTGAAGTGTAGTTTCTACTGAAAGCATATGACCTTTGCACCGTCGAAAAATTAAAAGCCCATACCATTGTAAACTGGGGACCATCTGTAATTGGGTTATTTTTTAAATCCATTCTGCCAAAATCCACCTTTTAATGTGTAATTACTGACAAGGAAGGAGATACTTCTGCCTATTTACTGTTTGCTAAATACCTATTTGCTTTTTTCTGTGTGTCATATCATTTTTGTTCCTCAGTTGTTTCATTGTTGTTTCCTTTAGTGTTGGATATTTTCTAGTGTACCGTTTTGATTCCCTTCTCATTTCTTTGTATTCTTTTTCATTGTTTTCTTAGTGGTTGGCCTGGGAATTCTAATAAGCATTTTAATTTATAACAATCTAGTTTAATAGCAACTTAGTTTCAATAATATATAAAAACTTTGTTTCATTATAGATGTTTTGTTTAGTAATTTTGTCACAAAGTACATCTGTATGCATTGTGTGTCCCTTAATGTACATGTATAATCATTTATGGTTTTGTCTTTTAAACTGTGTAGTAATAAAAGAGAAGTTACAAACCAAAAACACAGTGTCAGTGACTTTGATATTTACCTCTGTATTTACGTTTACCACTGTTCTTCACTTCTTTCTGTGGATTCAAGTTACTGTCCATTATCTTTTCATTTTGTCGTGAGGTCACCTTTATCATTTTTTGTAGGGTAGATATAGTAGTGACAAACACTCAGTCTTTGTTTATGGGAAGGTCTTCATTTCTTTACTTTTGAAGGGGAGTCTTGCCAGATGCAGAATTCGTGGTTGCCGTTTTTTCTCAGCACTTTGAATATACCACCCCAGTGCTTGGTGGTCTCCATTGTTTCTGACGAGAAATTGTCTGTTAATCTTACCAAGGATCCTGTGTACATGATAAGTCACCTCCCTCTTGCTGTTTTTAGGATGCTGCATTTGTCTTTCAACAGTCTGATTAATGTGTGTTTGATGCCAGTTGCAGTGGCTCCCACCTATAAGCCCAACACTTTGGGAGGCTGAGGCAAGAGGACCCCTTGAGGCTAGGAGTATGAGACCAGGCTGGGCAACTTAGAGAGACCCTGTCTCTACAAAAAAAATTAAAAATTAGCCAGATGTGGTGGTGCACACCTGTGGTCCCAGCTTCTTGGGAGGCTGAGGTGGACGGATTACTTGAACCCAGGAGATCAAGGGTGCAGTGAGCCATGATCATGCCATTGCACTCCAGCCTGGGTGACAGAGTAAGAAGACCCTGTCTCAAAGTGTGTGTGTGTGTGTGTGTGTGTGTGTGTGTGTGTTTCAGTATGAATCTATTTTTTCAAGTTTATTCTACTTGAGTTTGCTGAGCTTCTTGGATTTGTACATTTGTGCCTTTCTTCAAATTTTGAGAGATTTTTAGCCATTATTTCTTCCACCTTCTTACCCCTTTCTCTACATCTCTCTTTTCTCTGCATCATATATATGTTGTTATGTGTGATAATATCCCACAGGTCTCAGGCTCTGTTCATCTTTTTTAAAGTTTTCTCTCTCTCTCTCTCTCTCTCTCTCTCTCTCTCTCTCTCACTCATTGATAAAGGTTCTCACTTACTCTGTCCCCTAGGTTTGAGTGCAGTGGACTGATCACGGCATACTACAGCCTTGACCTCTTGGGCTCAAGTGATTCTCACATGTCAGCCTCCCAGATTGGGAGGCAAGGCTACAAACATGCATCGCCATACCCAGCTAACTGTTTAATTTTTTTTGTAGAGTCAGGGTCTCACTATGCTACCCAGGCTGCCTCATCCTCCTGCCTCACAAGCAATCCTCCTGCCTCATCCCCACAAAGTGCTGGTATTATAGGCATGAGCCACCACACCAGGTCTCTCTCTTTTTTCTGCTCCTCAGACTGGATAATATCAATTGTCCTGTCTTCATGGACACCAATTTTGTCTTCTGCCTGCTCAAATCTGTGTTGAAAGTTTCATTTCAGATACTGTACTTTTCAACTCAGATTTTTATTTGCCTTCCTGAAGTTTCTATCTCTTTACATTTCCATTTTTGTATTTTTTTTAATATGCCATAATCGTACCTGTTTTGCTGTTTCTCATTTGATGAGAATTTGTACTCATGGTTTCCTTTAGGTTTGGTTTTGTTTTGTTTTGTTTTGTTTTGTTTTGTTTTGTTTTGTTTTGTTTTGAGACATAGTTTCATTCTTTTCGCCCAGGCTGGAGTGCAGTGGCGTGATCCCAGCCCATCATAACCTCCACCTCCCAGGTTCAAGTGATTTTCCTGCCTCAGCCTCCCGAGTAGCTGGGATTACAGGCATGCACCACAACCCCCAGCTAATTTTGTGTATTTAGTAGAGACGGGGTTTCTCCATATTGGTCAGGCTAGTCTTGAACTCCTGACCTCAGATGATCCACCTGCCTCAGCCTCTCAGAGTGCTGGGATTACAGGCATGAGCCATCATGCCTGGCCTCCTTTAGTTCTTTATACGTATTTCTTGTACATCTTTTAGCAGGTTTAAAATAGTTGATTTATTTTACTTGTATAGTTAAGTCCAGTGTTTGAACTTCTGAAGGGACAGTTTCTACCAGCTTCATTCTTGTAATGGGCCCAACATTTGTTTCCTTGCCTGCCTCATAATTACTTTGTTGAAACTAGACATTTGGAATACTATAAAATAACAATTTGGGAATCACCCATCTCCAGTTTGTTTTGCTTCTTGTAGTTAGTATTGTATCTGTAGAACATAACAACAGTTCTTTTTTTTGGAGATAGAGTCTTGCTCTGTCACCCAGGCTGGAGTACAGTGGTGCAATCTAGGCTCACTGCAACCTCTGCCTCCCAGGTTCAAGCAATTCTCCTGCCTCAGCCTCTGGAGTAGCTGGGATTACAGGTGCTCACCACCACACCTGGCTAATTTTTGTATTTTCAGTAGAGACAGGGTTTCACCATGTTGGCCAGGTTAGTCTCAATCTCTTGAGCTGATGATCCACCCGCCTCAGCTTCCCAAAGTGCTAGGAGTACAAGTGTGAGCCACTGTGCCCAGCCACATAGAACAGTTCTAAAGTTAGTTCTAAAATAGAACTATTTTATATTCTGAAGTTCAATAATACTGTATATTATAAACTACTGTTAGAATATACAATAGTTCTATTTCAGAACTAACTTTGTAATGTCTGTATTTGTCACGTGTGGCCACTGAAGTCTCTTCTGATAGCTTAATGGTCGTATAGTGATTTGAAAGCCTGGAACAAAAAAGGGAAAAAAACTTCCAGTCTCTTTACATGGGCTCTACGTGTACATAGGGACATGCCTTTAATACTTAGGTAGGCAGTTAACTCTGCCTTGCCCTTCATTTCTGGCTTGTGCAGAGCCTGAAGGTCAGCAAAAGGTAAGGGTTTTGTGCCTTCTGAGGTGTTTTCTGAATATGTTCCCAGCCCTGAGTATGTGCTTGGAATTATAGGTTCCTGAGAATTTGAGGAAGACTTTTCAAAGTCCTACTCCCCAAACATCTTTTTCCCCATTTTTCCTTCCAGGCTTTTTGTTTAGTCTTTGGTTTGCTTCTGCTGTTTTCTCTTGCCTCAGGTAGTACTGACTAGTACATTTGCCTCTGTGTTCTTAGGTCTGTACTGGGGCTTGAGTATAGTGATGAATTAGACAGATGTGGTCCCACCTGCATGGGCTGTCTCTCATTCCTGCCTTATGGACTGAAGATCTCTTTCTCGCCTTGACTTTATATTCTTCATGTTTAAAAGTTTTGGGGCCACTGAAGTGTGCATTTGAACTTAGGTGTAGGCTTCTAGGGCTGTTTATGCCCTGTTACCTTGAATATTGAGTTGAATGTTTGCATTTTTGTTCCCTGTGAGAGTTACCATGTGCATTAGAATTAAGGCATCATTTATTTCACTGCTCCTAAAGTCACACTTTTCCATCTTCAGAAATGTTGGTTTTGTTTCATGGAGTTGGTTGTCCCCAGCACAGTTCCCTGTATCATGTATATTTTTTCCATAAATAGGTTGTCATGTTAATAAACCCAGACTGATATCTCAGTTGGAACAAGACAAGAAGGTAATGACAGAGGAAAGAGGAATTCTACCAAGCACCTGTCCAGGTGAGCAGCAGGTGGATGTGAGCCCTTGTGAGGAATAGCTCTGGCCAGTAGCTTGGTGGTTGGCAGTATTACATTAGTTAATGTCAATCAGGGAACTTCATAAAATGCTCTTTTCCTGACCAAGATGCACGAGAACATTTGGTATGAGCGCCCTTGTGTACTTTCTTTTCTGACTCTCTCTTCGTCGTCTCATACTTCGCTTCAGGCTCAGGGAAGAAACAAAGATGCACGTCTTTTTAAAATTTCAGTCAAGTTCCTTCCCACCTTGCATTCCTGATCGCTCTTCTTTTTGTCAATCTGTGACCAGTCTCAATTTGTCTGGAATCTTTGTTTAAAATGAATTCTTAAACTTTTCATAACCAAATCCTCTTTGTTGCAAACATCCTCAAACACCCTGATCCCTTAGAGCAGGCGTCCCCAAACTTTTTACACAGGGGGCCAGTTCACTGTCCCTCAGACCGTTGGAGTGCCGCCACATACTGTGCTCCTCTCACTGACCACCAATGAAAGAGGTACCCCTTCCTGAAGTGCGGCAGGGGGCCGGATAAATGGCCTCAGGGGGCCACATGTGGCCCGCAGGCCGTAGTTTGGGGATGCCTGCTCTAAGGGATCAGGGTGTTTGAGGATGTTTGCAAAAAAGAGGACTTTGAAAAGTCTTACTCATATTCTCAGGAACCTATAATTTCCATTTCTTTCCTCCATCAACCTAAATTTCTTTTCCGTTTGTTTCAGATTTGGAGACTCTACTTAAAGCCAAATGGTTAACTCCTAAGAAGCATGTTTTCAAAAAAGAACAGTCTAAACGTGTAAAAACAGTAAGACTAACATGGGTGATTTCTGGTTTTCTACAGTAGGAGAATGCCCTAAGTTTAGCAAGGGTGCAAAATAACCAGGAGAGGCATTAAAAGAAAGTGTCATTTATAATTGAGAATGCCATGTCCCTGGAGAGACACTGTGAAAATTGTAAATTTTTAGGGAAATACGAGTTAGCTCCAAACTTCTTTACAGAGAGTTCCCACAAGTAAATATTTCCTGTCTGTGTCTCAGATATTGACTGCTGGAAATGAAACTTCATCCAGAAGTTATCAGAAAATGTTTTGTGAATCTGATAAGGGCTTGTGGCAAAGCATCTATCTTTTTTAACTTTCTTAGAACTGAAACTGGGCAGAAACCATATACAACCACTTAAAGTGCCAAAATGCCAATTATAATAATGTAATAGAATTCCTGGAAGAGAAAATTCCTATGAGAACGTTAAGTATTTCCTATATTATAAATTATAGTTATCATTCGTCTCTTAATCCTCAGGAAAGAAGTCATCGTGGAGTGAAGCTCAATGAATGCAATCAGTGTTTTAAAGTCTTCAGCACAAAATCTAACCTAACTCAGCACAAGAGAATACATACTGGAGAAAAACCCTATGACTGTAATCAATGTGGAAAGTCTTTCAGCAGTAGATCTTACCTAACTATTCATAAGAGAATCCATAATGGGGAGAAGCCCTATGAATGCAATCACTGTGGGAAAGCATTTAGTGATCCCTCATCCCTTAGACTGCATGTACGAATTCACACTGGAGAAAAACCCTACGAATGTAACCAGTGTTTTCACGTCTTCCGCACTAGTTGTAACCTCAAAAGCCACAAGAGAATTCACACAGGGGAGAACCACCATGAATGTAATCAGTGTGGAAAAGCTTTCAGCACAAGGTCCTCCCTCACTGGGCACAATAGCATTCATACAGGAGAGAAACCTTATGAATGTCACGATTGTGGAAAAACCTTCAGGAAGAGCTCTTATCTGACACAGCACGTAAGAACTCATACCGGAGAAAAGCCCTATGAATGTAATGAGTGTGGGAAATCCTTCAGCAGTAGCTTTTCTCTTACTGTGCACAAGAGGATACATACAGGGGAGAAACCCTATGAGTGCAATGACTGTGGAAAAGCCTTTAATAATCTCTCAGCTGTGAAGAAGCACTTAAGAACTCACACTGGAGAAAAACCCTATGAATGTAATCATTGTGGGAAATCCTTCACTAGTAACTCCTACCTTTCTGTGCACAAGAGAATACATAATAGGTGGATATGAATTACTGCAGGAACTTCTGGGGGAAAGCACTCATTGATCTTTCATCCTTTAGATATTTTGAGAGAGCTCACACTGGATGTTTGTTATTTGTTACAGCGTAACAAATGATCCCCCAAAACTTGGTGGCTTCAAACACCAAACATTTATTATCTCACAATTTGTACAGGTCAGGAATTGAAGAACAGCTTATCTCTGTAGTTGCACTGCAGGATCTTTCATGTGCTTATGTGCAGTCAAGATGTCAGCCAAAGCTGTGGTCATCTAACATCTTTACTGATGAATAGTCCACTTCCAAGATGACCCATTCACATGCCTAGAAAGTTGGTGTTGGTTGTTGTCAGGGGACCTTCGATCATTAACATGTAGGCCTCTTTACAAGACTGAGTTCCTTTATGATTTGGCAGTAAGTTCTCCCCAAGGTTAGTGGGCCAAGAGAGGACCAGTACAGAGACCAAAATGGTTTTTATGATCTATCCTCAGGAGGACTGTTAAGCTCTCACTTATTTCCTATTGTATCAGTCTCACAACACACCAATCTTGATACAATGTGGTAGACTACAGAAGGTATGAATGCCAGGAAACAGATCACTCAGAAACATCTGGGAAATTTGCCATGGAATTAATGAAGAAAAGCCCTTAGCACATCACCCTTTTAATCTAATGAATATGAAATAACATTCAGTAACTCCCATTAATTCACTCTGAAGAGAGAAACCTTTTGAGTACAGTCTGTGTGGTAAAGCTCTCAGCTCGAACTCTCACCCTGATGGGCCCAGAAGATGATGTACTGAGAGAATCCTGAAGGATGGAACAGCTGTAGGAAAGCCTTCCGTGATATCAGGGATTCATGTGACAGCTCACAGTAAGGGAGAAAGTCTGCAAATGTATCATCAGAATGCAGAAGCCTTCAGGGACAGTCATCCCATAAGACACACTGGAAATCACACATGGAACAACACTCAAATGTGGAATACCGTACAGCAAAAGTGTTCACGTTACTGAGCAAAACACAGTGTGGTCTTCTTCAGTGACCATGGGAAAGCCTTGAATGTTCTCTCAGTTTCTAAGGGACTTGAGAATTAATTCTGGAGAGAATGCCCGATTGAACATCAACATTGGAGAGCTTTCCGTTTTTCCACATTAGTTAGGAAACTTGTGAGCGTTCACACTGTAGAGAAACTTGCAAATATGAAGAATAAGAGAAAGCCTTCAGTGATGCCTCTATGTTAGGGAAAATATGGAACTTCTCCCTGGATGCAAAACCTATGAGTATATTAATATTGGAAAATTTTTCAGTGATTCTTCTCTTTCTTGTATATGAGAGAACTTATTTGGAGAAACCCCTAGGAATGTAATCAGTGTTAGGATGCCTCAGCCTCAACTCCATTGAGTGGCCACAGTTTTTACTGGGAACAAAAAGTATGATAACTGTTTTATTTTCTCTCTATCCTAGTATGGCAAATACTGTTGGCTTCTTTCTCAGTGTCAATTCTCTTCTGTGTATTTGCTTAAAGAAAGTAACATGTTCAAGTTTATCAGTGTCTCATCTATAGATTGGACCGCTAGCTCATTAATTTTTTAGTCTTCCTCCCCCAGGGAAAATTAATTGGAAGTCTTTCTTTTAATATAAACATTTGTGTATAGCTGTTCCCAAAATAAACATTAACTTATATTTCATAATTATGATGCAATGTGTTTATTATCATTTGCTTATTAAGGACATCAAGACATTGCATATTCAAAAAGTTATTTCCTTCTAAGTGATTTGGTTTATCATAGTGGAAAATAGTATTTGTAATACACATTTTTCTAATGGCATTTTTGTCAGAGTACATGAGCTTTATAACACTGATTATTTACTCTCTATCCTGGTGTGGCAAATACTGTTGGCTTCTTTGTCAGCGTCCATTCTCTTCTGTTTATTTGCCTTAAGAAAGAAACATGTTGTTCAAGTTGTCTGTGAACAGTATCAAAAGTTCTCAATCTTACAGCTTTTTTCCTGAAGCCCAGGCAGGTTCTTTTTTTTTCCCCACTCCCCTGGCAATGAGAAGTAAGTAGAAGTCACTGTGGGGAACATTGTCTGGCTTGTTCTCCTTGCTTAGTGTCCATTCATCTCACCCGTTCTGTCTCTTGGAAAGTGGCCTCAAGGTCTAGAGTTTGAAGAGCTTCTTTTTGACCATGACAGAAACCAGCATGCAGCCAATAATTATAATGCTCTGGGCCCTCCCAGAGCCTCCAAATGGCTGCGTCTGCTCTGGACTCTAACCTTCTTACAAGACTAAAAGAAACCCCTAACTGACTGAAGCCAGCATGATCTGTTGTTTGTTTTTGAGGTGGTGGTCTGCTGAATTCCAGCAGAATGCAGAATCTAACTGGTAAACCTATAAATTGGTCAAATGTTATCCATGTTGTTTCTTTGAAAACAATATATATTCTCTAATATTTGGATATAGGGTATATGCACATGAATGCAACATAATTGTATTTCCAAGTACAGTACATACTTTCAGATTTATTTTCCTAACCTTATTTAGTGATAGAGGTGTAGTAAACTCTCCCATTACGTTTATGTATTAACATACTGTAATTTTGTCATTTTTAATTTATATATTTTGATGTTACGTAACTAGATGCATACAGGATTAGGTCTTTTCTTCTGTATCATTTCTTTATATGTGAAGATGATATTTTTACACAGCAAAGTATTGTAATGCATTAATGACACATGGCCAAACATTTATTTATTATTTAAAGACAGAGTTTTGCTCTCGTCACCCAGGTTGGAGTACAATGGTGCGATCTCGGCTCACTGCAACCTTTGCCTCCCAGGTTCAAGCTGTTCTTCTGCCTCAGCCTCCCCGGTAGCTAGGATTACAGCCACCACACCTGGCTAATTTTTTTTTGTATTTGTAGTAGAGACAGGGTTTCACCATTTTGGCCAGGCTGGTCTCAAACTCCTGATGGTAAACATTTATATAGTACTTCCCATAAATCAGGCCCCCTTCTAAATGCCATATAAATGTTAACTGCGTATGCATTATAAACAAGTATGTAATGTTATCCCCAGTTTACAGATAAGAAAACTGGTATGATATGCTTAAGTCGCTTAAGTCTCACTCTGTTTCCCAGGTTGGAGTGCAGTAGCGTGATCTGGGCTCACTGCAACCTCCGTCTCCTGGGTTCAAGCAATTCTCCTGCCTCAGCCTCCTGAGTAGCTGGGATTACAGGTGTGCAGCACCACGCCTGGCTAATTTTTGTATTTTTAGTAGAGATGGGGTTTCACCATGTTGGCCAGGCTGGTCTCAAACTCTTGAGCCCAGGTAATCCACCCGCCTCGGCCTCCCAGAGTGCTGGGATTACAGGCATGAGACAATGACCCATCCAGTTTTACAACTTTTATGTACATCTAAACTTTTCAAATAAAATGCTTCTAAAAACACATTGAACTGATCTCCCCAAACTAAAGGTGGTGGAAAGCCTTGCAAGAGATTCCCCCAACACACACAAACACACAAAACCAGTGTTTATGGAAGCCCAAGCAAGTGGTGTGTATAATCTGTATCCAGCAATAGAGCTGATAGAAGTCTTAGTAAGGGGTCATCAGGCCCCTCCAATACTAGAGGCAACAGGACCTCAGTTAGCAAGTGTCATCCCCAAACACAAAATATATTGTTTGAGAAAGCAAGACATCCATCATCCCAAAACTAGAACTGACAGGAATTTCAGTAAGCACTTCCAGTTATCTCCGATACTTGAAATGACAGCAGTCTCATAAGTGACTTCCTCAGCTGCCCCTCAGTACTAAAGAATGAGGAGCCCAAGCCCAGTGACCCTCCCCATCTGTACCAATAATAAGGAAGGCACAGAAAGTGACTCTACTAATCCCCCTAACACTAGAGAAAATGGGTTGAAAGAGACCCTTCCAGACCCACTGAGCAGGGATAAGTGGAGCCCCCCCAAATAATGCCCAGTCTTCTCCCCAAACTCAGACAATGGGACCTCCATCCAGTTACACTTCCCTGTCTCCCCAATACTTAAAAAATAGGAGTCAAAGGTAGTGATCCTGCAGATTTCCGAAAAACGGGAGCTTCAACCTCAGGCCTCTTAGTTACACCCTGCAACATAATGAGGATTCCATCAGATGAGAGCTTCCCTAAGTGATCCCCCATATTCCTCTAACATTAAGGAAACCCAAAAAGGCAATTTTCAATCCCCTGCATACTGAAGAGAGCTCTGGCTTCCACAACACTCTCAACACAAACCCTAGCTTGCCTCCCTTGTCTCCCCAAGAGCAGACACGAATATTCTCAGCAATGACACCACAGCCTTCCCCAGCAGAATCACCAGCATCCGAATAGACAACCCAGCTGGATGCTGTGGCTCACATCTGTAATCCCGGCACTTTGGGAGGCTGAGGCAGGCACATCACGAGGTCAAGAGATAAGACAATCCTGGCCAACATGTTAAAACCCCATCTCTATTAAAAATACAAAAATTAGCTGGGCATGGTGGCAGGCACCTGTAATCCCAGCTACTCGGGAGGCTGAGGCAGGAGAACCAGCTTGAACACAGGAGGCAGAGGTTACAGTGAGCTGAGATCATGCCACTGCATTCCAGCCTAGCAACAGAGTGAGATACCGTCTCATTAAAAAAGAAAAAAAAAGACAACCCAACAGGTTCTACCTCTCATTCAATTATCCCAAAATAAGAGTTGATAGAAGCATCAGGAAGCAACACCCTCAACATAAATGAGGAGAGCCCACAGTGTGTCTCTCAAGTCTTCCCTAACATGAGATGACAGCCCTTCAAAGAGCCCTCTTTATTCTAAACAAGAAAGCAGCTGAGCTCCAGCAGGCAACTCTTCAGCCTGCTCTTAGAGTGCAGATGTCTGTCCCCACGTGAAAGCAGATAGCCCAGAAGGTGGAGGTTGCGGTGAGCCGAGATTGCACCATGGCACTCCAGCCTGGGCAACAGAGTGAGACTCTGTCTCAAAAAAAAGTTATGGAATCACCAGACGACCCAGCCATTCCACTCCTTGGTGTATACGCAAAAGAAGTGTGCTCAAACAAATCATTGCTCATCCATGTTCACAGAAGCCTATCTCTACAGCCAAAGGTGGAAAAACCCCCAGTGTCCACTAATGGATTTATGCATAAGCAGAATGCAATGTATCAACATAATGGAATATTATTGGGTAATAAAAAGGAATGAAGGGCTGGGTGTGGTGGTTTGAGCCTGTAATCCCAGCACTTTGGGAAGCCAAGCCAAGAGGATTATTTGAGGCCAGGAGTTTGAAACCAGACTGGGCAACATAGTGGAACTTCATCTCTACCAAAAAAAAAAAAAAAAAAAAAATGCCAGGTGTGGTGGCTTGCACCTGTAATCCCTACATATTAAATGAGGCCAAGGCAAGAGGACTCTTTGAGGCCGGGAGTTTGAAACCAGCCTGGTCAACATAGACTTAATCTCTACAACAACAACAAAATACCGGGTGAGGTGACATGTAGTCCCATCTGCTTGAGTTGCTGAGGCAGGAGAGTTGCTTGAACCTGGGAGGCAGAGATTGCAGTGAGCTGAGATCAAAACACTGCATTCCAGCCTGGGTGACAGGAGACCCTGTCTCCCCCCCAAAAAAAGTATCTGCTGCTGTGTAGATGAAACATAGTAAATGAAAGAAGGCTGACACAGTAGGTAGCATGTGGTATCAATTCATGTATGTAAAATATCTAGAATAGTTAAATCCATAGAGAAATCAGATTAATGATGGCCAGGTGTCTTGGTTCACACCTCCCAGCACTTTGGGAGACAGAGATGGGCGGATCATCTGAGGTCAGGAGTTCGAGACCAGCCTGGACAACATAGTGAAACCTTGTCTATCCTAAGAATAAAAAATACAAAAATTAGTTGGGCATGGTAGTGCATGCCTGTACTCCTAGCTACTCAGGAATCTCAAAAAAATCACTTGAACCAGGAGGCAGAGGCTACAGTGAGCCAACATCGAGCCATCGTACTCCAGCCTGGGTGACAGAGCAAGACTCTGTCAAGAAAGGGAGGGAAGAAGGGAAAGAGGAAAAAGAAGGAAAGAAAAGAAAAAAGAGAAAAAGAAAGCAGATTGATGGCTGCATGATCTTGGAGGTGGGTGGAGAGGGGAATTGGGGTTGATTACTTAATGAGTAAGGAGTCTGATTTTGGGAGGGCAAAAATGACTGAACTAGAGAGAAGTGGTAGGTGCATCACTTCATGAATGTACTAAATGCCGCTGATTTGTTCACTTTAAAATAGTTAATTTTGGCCAGGTGCAGTGGCTCACACCTGTAATCCCAGCACTTTGGGAGGCCGAGGCGGATGGATCACCTGAGGTCAGGAGTTCGAGACCAGCCCAGCCAATATGGCAAAACCCCATCTATAATAAAAGTACAAAAAATTAACTGGTGTGGTGGCCACACACCTGTAATTCCAGCTACTCAGGAGGCTGAGGCAGAAGAATCACTTGAACCAGGGAGGCAGAGGTTGCAGTGAGCCAAGATGGCGCCATTGCACTCCAGCCTGGGAGATAAGAGCAAGACTCCACTCAAAAAAAAAAAAAAAGTTAATTTTTTGTTATGTCAATTCTACCTCAATACAAAAAATTATTCTCAAGTATGAAGCAATAACAAAAAGC